AATATTTCAATTAAAATAAAAATAGGGATTTTTTTGAAAATTAATAGTGTGTTTTTGAAATGTCGACAGATTTTTTGAAGTTTTATAGTAAAAAATAAAATGATACTGAAGAAATTGAAAAAGATAATAATAAAAAGAAATATATACAAGATTTATAAGAAAAAATTAAAAATTAAAATGAAGAAATTAAAGATTTAAAATATTAAATTTAAGAGTAAAATGAGAAAATAAGAAAATAAAAAAAGAAGAAATTATTTAATAATAATGGGAAGAAAAAGAACTATATTATGATGATCTAATGAAATAAGCAGAAGAATAAATAGAAAATTTATAAAAGTAATTTTTTAAATAATACAATAAATAGTAAATATTTTTTTTTAAAAAATAAGAATTTAATATTAAAATATTATATTATATATTATATATTATATATTATATATATATATATATATATATATATATTTTATATTTTTTTTTTATTTTATATTTTTAAAGTGATTTGATTAAAAACAGAATTAATTACGAAAAAAATATTGAAGATATCAAAGAAAAAAATTATAAAGAGGTAGAAAAATTGGCAAACTAATTAAAAAATATATAAAGTTAGTATAAAATAAAAGAAATTTCATATAAAGAAATATATAATAAAGCTGAAAATGAAAAGCTTATTTATGAATAGAAAATACATTTTTTGAATATAGAAATATTTGAATTGAAAAAAAATAAGAATAATTTTTTGAATTTTAATTCTTTTCTTAATTAAAATAGATCTACTTAAACTTCATTTTTCGAAAATAACGAATTCGAGAGCTTTTCATTCAAAAAAAGTAATGATTTTTCAAAAAACACTGATATAATAGAGAATAATAATAACGAAGAATTTATTTAAAAAATTAATGAATTAAACCAAAAAATAAACGATTTAAATTAAAAAATAATTGAATAAGATTAATTAATAAATGATTTAAATATGAAAAATAACTAATAATATTTACATATAAATGAATAAAATGAAAAAATTAATGACTAAAATTAATTTATAAATGAATTAAAATTAAAGATAGAAAATTAAGATAAATTTATAAATGAATAGAGTAAAAAAATAGATAGAATTTAATAAATTAATGATTGTTTAGGTAAAAAAAATGAAGATTTTGAGAATTAAATAATTTTAATATAGAAAGGAAATAATTCTTAATAATAAAATAATGAATTAGGTATAAAAAATAATTATTTATAATAAAACATTTAGGAGTTGAAAGAAAAAATAATTTATTGTAAATAAATAATAAGGAAGTTTAATAAAAAAATAATGAGTTTTAATAAAAAAGTGGAGAGTTTTATTAAAAAAATAATGAGTTAAAATAAACTATTAATATATTATAATAAAACATTAATGATTTATAAAATAAAAATATGGAATAATAACTAAAAACGGCAGAATTATAATAAAAAAATACTGAATATTAATAAAAAAATGCCGAATTAATATAAATAATAAATGAATTTTAATAAAAAATCAATGAATATTAATTAAAAAACTCTGAATTATAGTAAAAAATAATTGATTTAAATATAAAGAATCCTGATTTATAATAAAAAATGAATGAAAATAATCTTAAAAATGAAAATTCTGAATAATAAAAAAAATAAAAGAAATAGAAAGAAAAAGTCAAGAATTAAATCAAATAAATGATTAAATTAGATATTTAAAATAAGAAAAAGAAGAATTAGATAAAACATGTAGATAATTGTAAAAAAAAAAGAATAAATAGAACAAAAAGTTATTAATTTAGAAGAAAAAATATAGAAGAAAATGAAAATATTATGGTTATTTTAAAATAAATTGATTTTCTTTCTAAAGAATTAAATGATTAAAAAATATATTATGAAAATATCATTTTTGATATTAATTTAAAAAATAATCATCTAAAATAAAAATTAAATGAAAAATAATAAATTACAGATGAAAATAATAGTTAATAGTATAGTTTTTATAAAAATATTAATAAATAAGATAAATATAATGAATTTTTTAATATTAATAATAATAATAAAATTCAAAATAAATTAATTTCCGGAAATCATTATTAAAGTTCTTCAAATTTATTCAATTTTAATCAACTTAATGTAATGGTCAAATTAAAAAAAGATCATTCTACTAGTGTATTAAATCCTAATACTAGTAGAAATATTACACCTTAGAATACTACAAGAAAATAAATGAGTTTTTTAAATGAAAAGAAAATAGTAAGTAATATTTCACCGAATTTTTAAAATAAAAAATCTTTTTTGAATTTAAATGAAAATATGTTTACTTTCTAAAAAAAAAATTTCTAGATATGAACTAATATATATATATAGATAATTGAAATATATATATTAAAAAAAATTATTAATATTTATATGTTTTTATATATATATCAATATTATATTTATATAAAATATATATGTTAAAATTTATAAATATTTATTTATAGAAATCTATATATTATATATAAATGGGTTAATAATAATTAAATTCAAATAGTTTATTTTTTAATAAAAATGAACTTTTTTAAGCCTAAAAAACTTTTTAAGAAATATAAGGAGATTTCTCTTTTTTGTTTCCAAAAGATTATCATTTTTATTAAAAATTAGTGTCAGGTTCATAAAATAAAAAAATTGATTTTGAGAATTATTTAGAAATAATATATTAATTTACCAAAAATAAATAAAAGGAACCATTAATGATTTTATTTGAAATATTTTTTTAAAATGACTAGATAAATATGTAAGAATTTGAACTAATAATTGATTTTATTTTAAATTTATTTGAAATAAAATAAGATGATACAAAAAAAAATTTCATTGAAAAATTATAAAATATATATAAATAAAAATTCGAAGAAGAATTCAATAATTTATAAATAAAAATTTTAGTTAAATATATTAAAAATAGCCTTTTTAAACATATAAATGAAATTTTATAAGAAAGCTTTTATAATAAACTTATTTATAAATCTATTTACTTAAAACTACCATAATATTAATAATAATAAGAATAAAATTCATTACTAAACGAAGAATTTATCATATTTCTAATATTAAATAAACATCAATTTTTTATAAATAATGATTGTATTTATTAGTTATTTTTATCATAAAAAAATGGAATTAGTTTAACATCAATAAGAACTTCTATAATAGGTATTAATAAAATATATATATATATAATTATATATATATATATATATATATATATATATATATATATATTTTATTTATATCAGGTTATACTTCTCCAACTATTATCATTATTAAAAGTGGAAAATATGTTTATGGAGGTTATAATAATTTACCTTGGAAAGATTAAATAGAGTTTTAAGGAGATGAAAATAGTTTTGTTTTTCAAATATAACCTTATTTTTAGATCTTTAATGCAAAATAAAATAACTGTGCATATTTTAATTCTAGAAAAGGAAATATTAAATATAAGTTAGGGATAGGTTTTTTTCTATTAAATAATAAAATTAAACTTCTTACTATTTTTTTTTTATTTTAAAAGGTTTTGGAGGAAACTATGACTAATTTAAACTTTGGATTGATGAAAATATATTTACAAAATGTTATTTTTGTTTATAAGATGAATTTTATGAAAAAGGAGGTGTTTTTATCAACGAAAATCAATAAATTTCATAAAAAATATTAAAAGTTGATACCTTAGAAATATATGCTTTTGGTAAAAATTAGAATATATTAGAACTTTTTAATTAATAAAAAAGAGATTAACTAATGTCTTTTTTTTATAAAAAAAATACAATATTAATAATAATATAAATTAGGTAATTGTAAAATAGAAAAATTAAGCAACCTTTTAAAAAAATGTTTTTAAATGATTTTGATAAAGAAATGTTTTTTGGTAAAAAAAATTTAATAATAATATAGAAAAATTTATTTATAAAATTAAAAGGTTTCACATATTCACATACTTCATAAATAAATTGGGAAATAATGTTATCATAACAATATAATGATGATTAAGAATAATAAGATAATGATTAATAATAAAATTATTAAGTAAATAATTAAATACTCCCATATTTAGATGAATCATGAAAAATAAAATTATATTTATATATAAACTCAAAATTTATAAATTGTAAAATTTTTATATTAATTCTGTAATTAATTTCTAAAAACTCAATCAATAAAAAAAAATATATCAGATGTTATTCTTCATTAAAAATAATTTTATATATAAATTGTTTTAAAAAAAAATTAATAAAATAAAAATGAAAATATTTAGAAGATAAAATAAAATCGATATTAAAATAATTTAAAAAATAAAAAAGTAATATATATTTATAAATAGAATCATATTTTTAAAAATAATTAAGTAAATATTATATATAAAAAATAAAATAAAAGATAAACTCATTTATTCTATTTTCAATTGATTTATAAAAAAATATAAAAATAATAAAAAAAAAAATTTTTAAAGTATTATAAATATAATCATATTTATTTATATTTATATATATATGTATTTATATATATTTATATATATTTATTTATATTTTTTTTTTAATAATATTTATTTATTTTTCATTTTTTTTTTTTTTTCAAAATACAATCATTAATATATAAATAATATCACTTAGATAAATTATTTTAAATAAACCATTAAATGTAATTATAAAGTAATCCTTCTTTTATTACCTCTTATAATTATTAAAACAATTAATTATATTAATGTACATTATGTATAGTTAATAATATGTTTCCAGTTAATTCTTTACATTTAACTAAATGTGAAATATAAGCAATAGTATGTTTTTTGCAAGAATAACACTCACAATTTTATGAAAAAGGTTCTATTTTTTCTTTATATAATTAATAATCTGTTAAATCTAAATTTTTTGGTTATTATTAATTTGACAAATTTTATAGTAATTATTCTTGAGTATAAATAATATTATTATTATCTTATTGATTTTTTGTATAATTAAATGATAAATTCAATGCTATCGAATTTTGTGCTAAATAATTTGGATATTCTACTTCAAAATAATCTATACCAAATATTAATCCAAGCATTATATCTATTAAATTACCTTGTGATGAAAATACAGTATATAGTATATCTTTTTTAGGCTATATTTCTTCCATTATTAATTTTAAAATTTTTATTTTATCCTCAAATAAGTCTTCTTTATCTAAATCATGTATTACTATTCCATCTATATTTTTTTCAAGTGAATTTTAAATACTTATTTTTCGCAAATCTTCATATGTACCTCCTTAAATTGACGCGAATAAATAAATATGAGAAAATTCAGCATTTTCTTTAAACATTTTTATACCTAAATCTAAAAAACTTAATGTCTTTTCGACTGCTCTTCGGTGAGATTTTACACCTTTCCCTTAAGGAAATTCAGCTAAAGAAACAAGGATGTCAGGGTTAATTTTTTATGAAATTTTGTAGTAGTCTTCATCTTTTATTTCAATAAATCCACCTTTTACGGAGTTTATTTTTATTGTATTAGGCTTTGAGGTCCCTTCTATACAGTTTTTAATCTTATAATAATCTATAGGAGATAAATAGATGGTCTTTGGTTCATCTTTTTTAAAACCTAGATACTCTTTGAATGATATTTAAGCATCTTTTAGCTTATCTAGTAGTTTATCACTTTATTGGAAATCTGTTTAAGAAATAATAAGATGATTCAAGTTAAGAGGCTTTTAGTTGTGAGGGGTTAGTTGGTATAAAGTACCACGACGTGTATTCATGAAAAAATTTGGACTTTTTAATTATTTGAGAATTTTAGGTTAATAAGTCATTTTTTTATAATTATATTTAAGTTTTTTTTATTTTTATATTTGTTTTTAGATTATTTTATTTAGTTTTTAATGTTGTTAAAAAATTAAGAATTGATTTCTTTTAATAAAAATATAATATATCTTTATTTTTCTAATTAGAAAAAGGTAATAAACATATTTTATAAAATTAAATATGTTTTATT